AAATCATTAAGATTGGAAAAAATGTTCAGAAAAGAATGGATAGGATATCTATTTTTTTATTCTAGTTTGATTTTCATTATATTTTCCTACGTTAATGTGTCTATCTTGATTAATGAGGGGTAGGCTGTAATATAAATTATTAGCAAGAAAGGCTATGTGGTGTGCGATGGGTTTTAGGATAATTTCGTGGTGTATTTATTGGAAATGAACCAGGGGGATGGGTGCTAGTTCGTAGGTATTTGTTCTGAATTATCTGAATTTTGTTGATATTATATTGTTACGAATATTGCGTCACCTGCCGAATTCGTTGCGCGCGGATTGCGTCATCTGCCTTCCCCCCCCCTCCCCCCGAACTAGACGGTTCCGGACTATCCGGCAGCGCGAGAAACGCCGAGATATGCGGGGTTGCCTGGAGACAAGCGCCGGCAGGTTATAATGGCCGCTGCGGCGGCCGCGAGTCAGTTAGTTAGAAGAAGTCAGTAGAAGACAGTGAGTAGAAACGTCAGTGGGACTAGTAAGGCTCAGTGAGGGCAAGAGAAGAGTCCAGTCCGTCCAGTGTGTGTCGAGTGGAAGCTGTTTGCTGTGAATGTGATTGTGGTGAAGAGTGGTGGGCAGCGCTATTGAACAGAGTCCCAGCAGTGGTGAAGTCTGAGTGGAAGCTGAGCTGTGAAGTGGGCATCGGCGAGATAACACGCAGGTGGCAGTTTGGACCTGGTGTGGCAGTGAAGTGTGTCTTGGGCGCAAGAATTGTGGTCTTGGCAGGGAATTGGTGGTCTTGTGAGTGGAATTTGGGGTCAAGTGCAGTGGACCGTGGACAGTGCATTGGACTGGCTGATACTGTTAGAAAAGAGATGGTAATAAAATAGTGTGTAAGAAGTGAACTGTGGTAAAGAGCTATAGCAGAGAACGGAAATCGTGTGTAAGAAATAATATAATTGTAATATATCTGTAAATAGACCAAGTAGATTTTAGTGTATATTGTTCCGAATAAACGTTTTTGTTTAAATATTCTGTTGGTTTTAATTCACCACGGAGGAACGTTACAATATTTAACCGCGTTTATCCAAAACGGACAAGTGTACAAAAGAAGAGTTCTTATGATGGTTTTATAAAAGATGATGCCATTATTTAGTGACAGTTTACTGTTAATTATTAATGGTTTTAACTGTATTATTTTTGCTTTGTCTTGATAGACTTTGGTATCTATATGTAATTTTCAGTTGAGGGTTGTGTCCATGTGAAGGCTATGGTATTTAACGGCATTATGTGGAGTTCAAGGGATCGTGTTATTCATTTAAACGGAATAGGGAAGGAATATAGTCTGAAAGTGAGGACTTTGGCTGTAGAATTTGATTTTCCATTTCATTGCCTATGTTTCTATTTTATTTAAATGAGATTGGATATCGTTAGATATATAATTAATAGAGGAGTGCGACATGTAGATTACGGTGTCATCTACAAACTGGACTTTGTTAGTGAATCTTGATGTAGGCATATCGGCTGTGTGCAAGTTTTAAAGTAATGGCGAGAGAGGTGATCCTTGAGATAGTCCAGCTGTGATGGGCGGGGGTGCGAATTTTGAGTTTTTATTGTAACTGAGAAAGTTCTATTGGTGAGGAGGCTTGTAATTATTTTGAAGATGTTGTAGGGGTGCCTATTGATAATAGTTTAAACATGAAGCCTTCATGCCATACCCTGTCAAATGCTTTAGCGATATCCATAAAAACTGCTATTGAATATTGTTTTCATAGAAGGAGTGGAGATGTTCTAAGATACCCAAAAGATGATGTGTTGTTTATTAGTGAATTCGAATTAGTAGAATGTTGTGAGGTTTACTGTTTGAAGGTAATATTTCATCTTGTTTGGATCAATTTCTCAAAACTTTTTGTTACCGTGGCGAGGATGCTTCTGGTCCCGAGATTAAAATGCGAGCTTCTGTGAAAATTGGCATTCATGTTTGTTATTCCTACGTCAAGTATATCAGGAAGCCTGATTGGATATGTAGGGAAAATATGTTGGTTTTGGAGGTGAGATCAATTTAATTTTGTTTGTTACAACATATTTTAAGAGTTGAGCGCCTGCCGCATTGGTGACTCTGCAGCCCCAGTGTACATGTTTGGGATTTAGATCTCCTAAAAGAACGTAAGATGGTAATCGCGAAAGTAAAATGTTTAGATCTGTGAGATTTGTTTTTATGTTGGGAGGTAATAAACGGCAATGATTGTAAAATTCGAGTTGGTGTTGGTAATTGAAACTGCTATTGTTTCGATGCCAGTGATTGTTGTTGAATTTTCTTCGAAATAGGCGATAGTGTTTTTAATGAGTATGATGACTCCGCCGCCTGGGTAGTTGGTCATATCCATTCTTACTGTGTTGTAGCAGAAGGTTTTAAATGAGATTCTGTGATGCATTCAATGTCAACGTTGTGTGTTTGGAGAATGGAATGGAGTTCGTTTTTTATTGCTGATGCTACATGCGTTCCAGTTCATTACGGTTCATTTATGATTTGAATTATTTTGTGCCATTGGGGGAACTACAATGGAAAGTAATAATTGTATGATTTGAATAACAGTTGAAATGACTGAATTTATGATGTTCTTTGTAATAGTTATTATATGATTGATAATATTATAGATAAAATGAGTGCTCAGAAGGTTGTTTTGTGGATTGTGAGATGGGACGTAAGGAGGGATATTATTTGGTGGGCGATTAAATGCTGATTCACGGATAAAATGTGGTACGTTAGCGGTTCTATGAGGTCTAGGGAAATGGTAGGTGTTTTTAGGCGCGAATGGCGCTGAGGGTGGGTCTGAGGGCGGGGATGGGGGTGGGTGTGGGGGTAGGAGTGGTTTATTATTTCTCATGTTTGTAGAAATGTTTTGGGACAATCTAGTTTTATTTTCCGATACTTTTCTAAAATATTGTCATTCGTCAGTTCGGATATCTGCCCGGTGCGTTCCTTCGCAGTTTCTACATATAGGAGTATTGTTCTTTCTGGGGCAATTTACTGAATGATGATTCTCGGCACAATGTATACAAGATATTTGTTTGTAACAGTTATTTTTAGTACGTCCAAAGTCTATACGACGGAGGCACTGAATTATTCCTTTTCTTTTTAGTCTTCTTTCAACATTGACTTTTAAGATGCAGAGTTGTCTAGTCCGGAAAATTAATTAAATCGATTGTAGACCTGAAACCTCTACCACTACCACTGGGATGGGCTGATTATCTTTGTGTAATCTGGTGACACTATTAAGCGAGGACAATTATTCCTTCAGGTCGTTATATATTTCCTCTTGCATGATGGAGTGATGAATGTTTTTGAATACCACCGAAAACGTTTTGTTGGTTGGGTCCGATGTGCAATAACCAAACACATCCACTGCCCCAGCGCGCACACAGCGTATGTCACAGACCAGTAGGACTCACGACATCGCTTCTACGGCTCTTGGGCACAACAACGCAATTGGGGAGTGTTTATCTGACAGTTCGCAGCCACTCCGCGAGACCACACAGCAATAGCAGCGGCAATTGCCAAAACTGAAAGCAAACCGGAAGTAGACCAGCAGAAAATGCTCTCCAACGCAGTCGTGTCCACACTGCTTAGATCGTAAGTTTTATGATAGAAGGAATTACGTTATAACGCGTGTCTTTAAATGATTGTTCATTGCTAAGCGAATAATGAAATTCAAAGATTGGATTGATTCGTAAGTGTTCCGTATATGAAAGAATGAAAAGTTGAGTCAGTTTGTGAATTGTTTTCGAATGTCAGGGCCGAAACGAGCAGCGAGAATTACTCGTACAACTACAACTGGTCCGCAGATTTGAGCGATATCGAAAATCATAAGAAACAACACTGAAAAGAATACGACACAGTGTATAAAGGGAGGTAAAAGGAGGAAAACGATTTTTAATTGTTACATAGAAAAAAATGATCTCACTGGCCTTGTGCCGCTTTCTTGCTTGATAATAAATTCTTCAAAACATGGTGTTAATTAGCTTCGTGCCACATTCAACATCTTTCGCGGTATATACTTTCTTTGTTTTTTTAAAAACACTAAAAAACTAACCTTTTTTTTACTGTCTGATGTTTGTAAAACGAGTGAAATAAATCAGTGCCACTCTTTTGCATCGACTACAAAGCATTTTACAGTCAAAGCCGCAGCATCGTTGATTTCGCCTGTTACAAACACGTGCATGCGTACTCTGCCAGTCCACTTGTGGCCACATGAACACACGGCGCTTCTGTTGATAGCGGCTTTGGTTTGGCACGGAGGGCAAACGAAACCATGGTCCTCGCGGGTCCTGTTAGCGCCGACAAAATATTGACCTTCATTGTCACGAGCAGCGACAGATCAAGGTTACTTACAGACATCGTTAGTGAACGCAAATGCGAGCGCGAACGGTTGAAGTATTTCAGACTGGAAAGCGTTTGAAGCATCTAGCACGCAATCTAGCGTATACAAACGAAGAGAACATGATTTTCCGCATGTTGCAAAACGTTACGCAACACGCTGCACGCAAGGCAACTTTGTCAAACATTATACGGTATTACATTTACTATTCTTGACAGTTCGTATAATCATGCGATAAATTTCGCCCACTCGGCAAAAATATCACGGCGTAATGTTTCTATCAAAACAGTTTCTACAACACACTAGCATTAACTCGATGTTTCGAGATCACACGACCCAAACATTCCGACACATCACATAACACAACACAACGATATCCACAAAAACTGACCAACCATCGCTAATAGAAATCACTCAGCAGAAACCAGATCAAATGAATCACGTTTATCAAGAGGTCAACGAAGGCGCTGAACTCGACAACGCGACGTAATCACTATCTAATCGCAGCGCCACAACAACACGCCGCCTCCTGCCTCGCCCGGCAGACACAGCGGCGCGGGCGCGGCGTGACAGTCACAAAACAACACCGCCGACGTAGCGACACCGGCGCCACTGCACGCGCCGTCCCAGCCCGCCGCTACTCACCGATTAAGTTGTCCTGCACGTGGCCGCCCTCCACGGCGATGACGAGGCTCACCAGCGCCACCAGGGTGATCGCCATCCTGCCACGCGAGGTGAGCACCGTCGTCGGTTGCCTCCAAAGCCGCCGCATCTCTTCGGGTGAACTGGTTGCGCGTCACCTGACGGTCCCGCTCGCATCACCCGACGGCTTCGCGAAATAGAGCCCCCGCACGGAACCACGCACTGTGCTGTCTTCCGTCTGTCACACGCTCACCAAAAAACGCACGCGTCGTCGGGGGCCGGACGCCCTGTCACGTGAGTCGCGCGACGTGTCGCGTCGCGTCGTCGCAGGGTCGGGCGCACGCCGCGCGCGCGCCTTGCTCACTAGCCCGTCCGTCCGCGGCGACCTCCGACGCCGCACTGAAGGCGGCAGCCGGCCCCCGCCTGGTTAAAGTACTCGGGGCCCCTGCGGGTGATGCAACCCGCCGGCCGCCACGGACGGTTGGCCGCACCGCCGCCGCTGCCGCCGCACGGTGGGCTCGCGCCCGAAACGACGGCCAAAAGTCCGCGCGCTCCCCAAACCCCGAGACTTAAAAACCGGCACCCTCTCTACTCCATTCTCACACATCGCGTTTAAGTATTCGAACACGCACCACTCATTGCGCTTGGTACTCGGATTTGACATGACTTTATACTAGCTTGTTCGGCAGCTTTCAAAACTCATAAATATAATTTTTTCAATGCTATCAAGCATCGCAAGTACTATTTTTGCTTCAATTAATCTTTCATGACCTTACTGCCTGCCGGAAATCGCCTCGCGCCTCCAGTCCTCCGGTCGTTTCTCACGTGCCTCCCTGTCGCTGTCAGCGTAAGTCTCTACGGTGTGTATTGCCTCGGAGGGCACGCAGGGAGACGAAAACCGGTATTTACATGGCAGATTCAGAAAGGCAAGAAAGTCGAACACGTTCATGAATAATATAGTTATAGCAAAGTTGGTTCCCTGAAAATGTTATCTCGGTATAGGATAACCAGCTAATTAAACGCACACGCACACACGTATATATAATATAATATATATATATATATATATATATATATATATATATATATATATATATA